CAATCATTTACCCACTTAGACATCTCCCCTCCGATGAACATCTCAAATGCAACATGTCCAAGTCAGACCTCATAACGCCTGCACCTCCCGGGGCTTCCTCAACTCAGAAAATGGCACCACCCTGTTGGAAAATGGGCTCATGCTAGAAGCCTGGGAGTCACCCTTTACTCATCTGTTTCTCTCACTCTCTATGTCCGTCACTGTCAAGACCCACTGACTTTATTTCCAGAACACATCTCAGACCCATCTACTTCTTTCCATGTCTTCTGCCTCTACCGCAATCCAGGACAACATGGTCCTGCACCTGGCCTATTGCCACACCCTCCTACTTGGTCTCCCTGTATCCACCCTTTCCCTTGGAAGCTTTTAAAGCTGCAAATGTGATCATGTCGTTCGATCTCAATCTCCCCCCACTCTGTCTGTCTGTCTGTCTGTCTCTCTCTTTCACTCACACACACACACAAAGTTCTTTCAACGGTTCTTAGGAAAAATTCTGAGGTCTTTAGCAGAAGCGGTATTTAGCACGCTGAGAGTGGAAAACGCGACCCACAGCCAGGCAGGCCGTAAGGACGAGGTGACATTTGCAATGCCCCTGGAAGAACAAACAGGCATTTGTTGGGCGAAAATGACTGGGGGATTCCCGCCGAGGGAACAGTGGCTACCAAGGCAGAGCACAGCTCGTAAATGAGCACCAGGGGTGACGGGAGACTCATCTTGTGTGACCAAAGCATTATTTACGGTAATAAAAACAATAAAAATAAGTCACAGCTAGTTTTCCCGAACACTGGTGCTTTACATACTCTGAGTTCGGATCTTCCCCGCAGCAGAGCCTGACACGGGGAGGCCTGTGAGAGTGACGGGGGTGGAGGCCCTGGGGTGGGGTGCGGGGACAGGGCGGGGGCAGGGTGCGGCCTCAGCTGGAGTCTGGCCGGAGTCAGCTGGGACCTATGCGGGGCTGCAGAGTTGGCCGCCCCTTGAGAGAAGGGGACCAGCTTCCAGACCACCCCCCATACCCCTTTCTGGGTTCACAGTTCCCATTTGGCAGAGGCCAATTTTCCAGAGAAGGGGCAGCTATGAGGAGTTAGCAGCCAACACTGGCAGCAGCTAGACAGAGGGTGACTCTCTGGCAAGACATCAGCAGAGTCCACGACAGACACCTCATTTATTATCCCCACACTCCAGGAGGCGAGACGTGAGTCCCCATGTGATGGGAAGCTGGACCCTGCCGAGGCTTGGAAGAGCTAGAATTTGAACCCCGGTCTGCGAAGTCCCGAGCCCACTTCCTTCCCTCCTCACCTCATCCCAGGAATGAGGAGACTTTTGCTGGGTCACATAACCGGGAAATATCAATTCCTGTAACTCCTGGACAGGGTCTGCTCGCAACAGGGGGAAGAGCCGATCTGCACCAGGCCTCTACCCCCCGAAGCTGCCAACGGGGCTGCAGTCCTGTCTGAGACCGTATCTCATTTTCGGGCCACCCAGGCACGTCTGGTACAAAAGAAACACAGGTCCGGGGAGGGAGAGGGAGTGATAATGTGCAGAAGCGAAGGCAGCTATGCAGGAATTCTGTGGAGACTTGCAAAAAAACAGTGCAGCACGCATTTGCAAAAGAAACTTCAAGCCTCAGAAGAGCTGGTCTGAAAGTTTTCAGAAAGGGACACAGTCGGCTAATACACACCTGGTTGGAGCCTGTCTCAGTGGAGATTTCTAAGTAAAGAAGATGGTGTTTCAGGAGAAGTGTTATACCAAAGAGCAGGTCTGTAACATGGTAAAACTAGACGTTCTAGAAGCAAATGCCTCCAGAAATGGCTTCCCACGCATATCCAGAGCCTTTCACATAAGAGGCTCACAAACATTTGCTGAAGGAGCTAACTTGGTATTTAACTGTGTTTGTAAAATGTATTTTATGCCACTTGGAGTGTTTATCCTCTGACTCCTCAGTGGCTATGAGATCTTTGTTTTGCTTACAGTAATTGGGACAACAGATCAGGCCACACACCACGAGAGGGTGTTCGTGTGTGTGTGTGTTGGGGGGTATGTGAGTTCAAGCAAGCAGTCCGTGGAAAAGACTGGAAGGAAATACACAGAACCTTCGCCATGAAAGACTAGAGGCCAGTAGAGTTCCAATGAGCCACAGGGGGCTGTAGGTCCCAGAAGAGTCTAAGTTATTCTTCAGCAAAATCAGCATGAACTACATCCCGTATGTTTCCTATGTGTGGTACTTTGTAAAAAGATCACAATACTTTGCAGCATCTCCCATCAAGAGATGGTATTTATTTCCCCATTCCTTGAATCTGGAGTGGCCCTGTGACTGGCTTTGGCCAAGAGAACGTGCTGGAAGTAGTCATGTGCCTGTTTCAAACCTAGGCCTCGAGAGGTCCTGCAACTTCTGCTCTTGCTGCTCTGGGAAACTTTCTCCCACCATGTGAACAACCTCAGGCTAGCCTGCTGGAGGACAAGAGACCACGTGGAACAGAAGTGAGCCCCCCACCCACATCAACCAGCCCACAGCTGAGCTGGCAACTTATTGCTGCCACTGAGATTATCTTGGGAAGACCAGAAGAGCCAACAGCCGAACCCAGCCAAAGTGCCAACTCATGGAATCAAAAATAGATAAATATTTGTTGCTGTAAGCCATTGAGTTTTAAGGTGCTTGCTATGCAGCAAAAACTAACTGATATATTATAATAAGTCTAGATTTCAACTGCAAAATTTGCTCATGTTAAGATTGGCTCATGCCACCAAGTAGACTTAGCTAATTAATCTCCGAAAATACTGATGTCTTCATTAAGTCCTGAGTTAGGAAGCCCCTCTGAGTGAGACCACAAAAGATTTAGAAGGATCCTTGGGAAGTCCAACCACCTTGTTCCACGTCAGGGAAACTAGAGTTCAAAGAAGAGAAGAGGCCACATTCACTCATTACATGAACATTTCCTGAGTGCTTTCTGCGTGCCACACCCTGTGCCCCACGGCTGTACAGAGCAGTGAACAAGAGAGACCAGATCCTCCCCGCATGGAGGTCACAGGCTAGCGTGGAAATAAGATGTTAACTAAGTCATCACACAGACAAGTAGACCCCAAAGAGTGACACACACCATGAATTAAAATGAGCTGGTGCCATGACAGAGAACTGTGGGGAGGGGACCTCATTTGGATTTGTAGGTCACAAAGAGCTCTCTGTAGAAGTGACATTTAGGCTGAAGAAAGTTGGTGGCAGCCTTCGGGTGGAAATGGGGCTCTCCACAGACAGGGCAAGGTAAGTGTGTGGAGCTTTAAGTCCCTGCTGCGCAGGTTCAAACGCCAGCTGTACCACTCCCAGGCCAAGTCACCTGAGCTGAATCAGTGAACATCCTTGAGCCTCAGTTGCCTGATCTATAAAATGGGCTTAACAATGATATCCACTCATCTCAACACTGTTTTGAAAATCAGCTGAAATAACCACTGAGGAAAGGGCTTTGCCAACTGCAAGATGTTGAGTGAACAGTCAAGGTTGTTACTATTAATGGTTTGAGAAAGGTGACATTTGTTTGCCCTGAGTCTCCTCTCCAAGGAACTGTGTTCCCCTGTGCCCAAGCCTAGAGCAGACACAGAGCCCCACTGAGTACCCCCCTCTGAGTACCACCTTCCGTTCTCGGTGGAAGGACGGTGCCAACTCTTTCCATCAGGGTTTGAGCCAGAACCGACATCACCATAGTATGGTTCTGAAACCAGGGTTCAGTAGGTTAACAAACTGCAATTGAAACACTGTGAAAGGCTGAGACAAGATGATTAGGGTGAAGCTCTGGTCTGCTGCAAAGACCACATTTCAAGTGGATTATGTACAATTAATTCACATCAGTGCAGTCTTCCAAAATGACCACTTCCAGGACCTGGAGTCTAGCCCACCAGTCCTTCAGGTTGGCACATGCCATGCAATATAAAGGCAGCTGTGCAGCAGCAGCACGGTGCTCACACGGGGACGGGCCGGAGAAGGGGCATGGTATGGTGGCCCAGCACGAGCAGTCCTGCAGTGGCAGGGGAGGGGCTGCAGCACCCCACAGTGAGCTTCCACGTCCCCCTGGAACTGCAGTATCTTCCTCACTGGTAGAGTCCCCTAGAGCCACAGGCCCCTGTCTTATTCATCTACAGTGCCCACAGGACCTGTCACAGAATAGGGCACATACAGGTTTGTGGGTTAATAGGCTTCTGCTGCCCCAGCTGGAAAGTATGGCCCAGCCTGATGGCCGAGGGTCCCAGTCTGCAGCGAGGACCCTCTGCAGGGTCCCAGCCTGCTGTGAGCACCCTCCCCGGCATCACGTTCTGCAGGGAAGACCCTTCCTGGACCCTCAGCCTGCAGTGAGGGCCCTCCGTGGCTGTGATCAGTCTAGAGCGAGGATGCTCCCAGCTTAGAGAAACGTTAATTTTCAGAGACCAGACTCTCAGTGGGAAATCTGATTCTCGCTGGCTTCTGTGCCCTCCAGAGGGCAGGGCTGGGGTTGGGACAGCCTTGCCCAAGGATGACTCAGTCCCCTTTGCCACCACCAAGGCCCTCGCAGGGAGCCTCTGCTCCTCCCCCTTTGTGCCACATCCACAACCCCCCAAGGGGCCTTAGACAGCGCCGGGTGGGTGGGAGAACTCACCCACACCAAATGCTACCCCACGGGTGCTGTGTGGGAGCAAGAGGCAGGCAGCGCCAGGGGCACAGGACGCCCGACTCACTGCCGCGAGAACTCCCTCCAAGCATGGGAAACGTGGGCAGCACATTCCGAGTTCCATCCAGGTCTCAGTGACATCCACGTTGGGCCAACGGTAGCCAGGGAGTTGACGGACAGAAAACACTACAGTCCCACATCGATTCTTCCTTTTAAGGGGACTCGACTGATATTCTTGATCATTCTGAGAGAGGACAGTGGTGGGCTGGGCTCCCCCACTCTGCGCCTTCCCACCTCCACCCAGGAGCAGCCGGCTCCGCCAGCCCCAGGCTGAGACCCCCCTCAGGGAGGACAGGACGGTGCACCCACCTGGCTGGCTGACAGGAGCTCTGGGTTTCCGTCACTCATCCCCACGTAGGCACTGTCACCATCAAACTGGAACAGAGAGAGAGGGAGAAGCAGCTCTGATTAAAATGTTCTCAAGAAGGCTCCAGGAGAAGCAGCCAGAGGCGGCCATGGGACCAACTGTGCGGGCCTGTGGGGCCTGCAGAAGCCAAGCCCAGGGCGCCAGAGGCCCCATTTCAATAGGGCTCCCTCTCGAGTGGAAGGAGCAGCCCCTGATCTGTAGGCGCTGAGGGCTCAGGTCTGCACCATTAATCACACATAGAATGAAGAAGACAGGAAAACCTTTCTGCCCTCTAGATATTGTCCAAAGACACTGCAGACTGCCTAGTCAGGTACTGAGCTTCCCATCCCCAGAAGTATGCAAATACCTCTGTTGGCCAAAATCACATCAAGTGATCAGCTCATGCTAGAATCCCATATGCCAGGAGAGGCCCAGATCTCCAGAGCCTTGGGGTCATGACAGCCTGCCCCAGACATACCCTCTGGGGCTTTGTGGCTTTGCCCTTCACCTACCCCATCCTAGCCCCTAAGGCCACCCCTGGCCACAGGCAGTGAGGGCTGTGGGAGAAACTACGTGTGTACAGAACTACAATCCTGTGTTTGGAGGATCTGTCAAGTCTGGATTCGGGACGATTTCCCCACAATAGAGCAGGTGCAGTGGGCGAGATGTCGGCCCTGGGGCCCCTGGCTCCCTCTTTGCCTGTGTGTGATCTTGAGCTGGTGTCCGAACTCCTGAGGCCCCTCCTCTGTCACATGGGGTGATGCCTGTGCTCCCCATTCACAGGACGCCGCATCGTTGAGCACTCGACTCCATTCCAGCTAGTTCCCTTCCCTTGAGCTAGGCGGCTTAGATTGGGTTCCCTAGAAGCAGAGCCTGAGGCAAGGGTTCAAATGCACGTGATTTTTGAGGGACTGCTCTTTAAGCATAACCTGTATGTGTGGGAGGGATGGGGGACAGGGCAATGGATGCAGCTGGGATGTCATCTCAGCTAGAGACTCCATTGGTCTGATCCCGTGGGGGGCTCTGGGGCATGAATTGCGCTGCAGTGTTAGTTCCGAAATGAAGCAAGGGGTGGCCTTTGTAGCCCGTGTAAGTCAGTCATTGACTGTGAGCTGCCCTTAGGGGACATGGGGAGGCATAACCTCTGAGCAAGATGGCCCCCATTTGGCCAAGGATAATTCTCCAGGGAACTGTACCAGCTGCCAGCCATGAGCCGCCAGTGCTCAGAGCAGATGGGAGATGTCTGCACTGGCGGTAAGGGTTCAAGTGGGGCACCAACAGCCACTTGCCATTTTATTTTAATTGAACGGTTTATGTATTAAGATATATTCCCATGGTTCAAAATTCCAAAAGTACAAAAAGCAACACCACCCCACCTCCCAGCCATCCATTGTCTCTCCCCAGAGGCAACTGTTCTAGCGGCTTCTTTACACCCTTTCAAAGACTATCTACGTATATACATTTTATAGCCATTTCTTCCACACTAATGACAACATACTAGACACACCATTTTGCACCTTATTTTTCTCTTAGCAACACATCTTGGAAAATGTTTTATATCAGAACATAATTCTTTCTTCTCACCCCATATTGCACAGTATGGATGTAACGGGGGCAGCTGCATTGTCTGGTCTTTTGCTCTTCCAGCGCTGCCCCCGTAAATATTTGTGTACATCTACAATTTACCATGGGTAAGAGTTTCTCTGTAGGATTAATTTGTGTAATTGCTGAGCCCAACTGTATGTGCGTTTGTAATTCGGACAGACATCACCAAGGGGCCCTTGTGGGGGCTGTAAAGATTCCCACTCACTGCCACGACCGTGCGCGAGGTGTCAGTCCCCCAGCCTTTGCTCAACAACTGGCTCAGACGCCAGCCCCCACCCCTGTGGGCCGAGAGCCCACCACCACCCCGACCACCCTTCCCTGTTTACCCTGTTCTTTGTTCCATAGCCCCTCTGCCCCTTTTACCTTCTAGCATTCTCTATAATTTACTTATTTACCATGTTCATTGCTGATGGCAAAATGGAGGCTCCCAGGGTTTGGGGATCATTAGCCTATCTGTACACTGATGCCTCTGAAGCTCCTAGGGTCATGCCTGGCACAGAGTAGATACTCAATACATGTTTGTTGAATGAATGAATGAATGAATGCAGCAGCCACTACAACATTCAGATTGTCTCCCACCAGGCCAGTCTTCCCACGCAGGCAGTGGGATTGGTGGTTACACCCTAGAGCCTGCCAGCACAGGGATGGGCCGAGTTCCTCAGTGACCGTGGGGTTATCAAAAGAAAAGGCCAGGCCATGCCTTGAGTTTGGGCACTGACCTCCAATACAGAGCCCTGTCCACGACACCGCAACCAGAGCTCATGCTTCAAGGCCCTGCACAGAAGCCACCTCCTCCTGGAGGTCTGCCATGCTCTCATCCCCTCTGGCTGTCCCTCCTACAACACAGACTGTCTCCACATGTGTCATCTGTCCCAGAGTGGGACCAACATGGAGGCTGGAACTGTGTCCCGGTTGCCTCTGAATCCCCCAGCACCTGGCACAGGCTGGCAGTGAACTGGGCAGGGTAGGGGAGCTTTCAACAAAAGCTCCTGGATACTAAATGATGTGTTCCCACGGTCATTGATTACTTCCATAAAAACAAAACTTTTTAAAAATCATCCATAATATATAAGAATATTCTACTAACAATAGAAACAATAATTGGAAATGGAGGGGCATTAAGTTGAATGATGTGTTTGAAACACTTTATAAAGCAATACTAATCAAACAGTATGGTCTAAGTTAAAAATGTAGAAATACACATCAAAGAGACAGAGGCGAAGATGTTCAAGAAGCCTTTATAACAGCCACCATGTATTGAATGTTGGCTAGAACAGAGCCACCGCAAAGGCAGGGCCACCGTCTGCTTCGTGCATGGCAGGCAATCAATAAATATTTGGAGAATGAATATATCTGGCACTGAGCAAAATGCTTTACATAAAAGATCTCATTTAATCCTCACAATGAACCAATGAAGAAAGCATTCTTTTCCCTGTTTAAAATCAGGGAAACAGAGAGACGATAAGTAGTTGCCCAAGATCACACAGTTGGGGAGAAACCGGACTTTAAGAGTCATTTGTCTGATTTTTCCTGGTTTGGCCCTCCCACTAGGCTACAAATTCCTTGACAGCAGGGACCAAGGCTTTTCTAGATCCTACTCCATCAATAATTAGCCCCAGGCCTGGCACATAACAGGCGCGTGGTAAGTGTGTGTTGGAGGTTCAGGAGAGGGAGGCGTCATCCGCGTGAGCAGAGGGCCACAGCACTGGAGAAGGAAGGCAGAGACGCCTGGATCTTGATGTGTGTGTGTCGGAGTAGGCAGGGGAGGGGCAGGGCAGTGGATTCCCATGAGGTCACCGGAGCCTGTCTTATTCATTCACTCGTTTATTCGACCAACATCTAAGAAAGAACTGCCACATCCCCGAGCAAAACTTGCTTCCGGCTTTCGAGGAGGGCTTGAGAAATCGGCGGAGGTTCCCAAGGCAGGGCCTGAGTCACTTCAGTTCAGTTACCCCTGGACGCCTTGCAGCGTGCCAGGGAATGTGCTGCCTGAGGACCAGCAGCTAAGACAGCAGAGGCCCCGAGGCAGAGGGGAGGCCTGTTCTCTGGCCCCCTCCAGGGCTCCGCCATGTCAGGGCCCTTGGAAGGGGCAAAAGAGGAGGGAAGGGGACCCTGAGGGCTCCCAGGCTTCCCCTGGCTTGGCCTCCAGGACAGCAAGGCCTGGGCTTACCTCTCAGCCCCTCCTCGTTTGGGACCCTTTCTGGGGGAATGAACCTGAAAGCCAAGGGGAAAGGTCGTCACCTCTGCCCTCAGACACAGCACGGCTACCTCCTCCTCCACGTGTGCACAGACAAGATCAAAAACACCCACATCCTCATCCACCGCGCTGCATACGCTGAGGGTGAACACAAAGGTATGTGACATACGCTGGGCGCACAAGCATGAGGGCACACACATACCACACGCCCATGTTTGTGTGGACTCATGTCACACACAACATGGCATTCAAGACAGCACTTAGCCACACATGTACCACACCCATGGGTAACACAAACCAACGTGCACACAGCACAAGCTCAAGCGTGCACACAGTATAGACCTTTTGCATGACTGACACGATACCCACAGCACGCACGCATAGGAAAGGAGGGTGTGCCCAGATATCCCACGTATCTGCAACTGTGCAAATGCAACTCACACAAATGTGAACACAAACACATACCGTATGTGCTTGTAGAGACACACAAAGCAAAATGCACATGAACTTAAATTCTGTGCATCTTTCACAATTTATCCGTCCCTAGATCAAAAATCTTTTTTTGTACCACACAACCTTTTGCATGCTTTAAAATGTGGGGGGAAAATGGAGGGAGAAACAACAGCCTAAGAATTTCCATGAAACGCCAGGAGAACATCCTCTTACCAGTGACTGGAATAGATTAATTTTCCCCGTTTCATATTCTAATTATAATTCCTTTTCCCATTGCGATCTTCAGTCCTCACTACAGCTGGAAGATTGTTCTGCAAAAGCCAGGCCTTCATCTTCTCTTCCCAAGAGTTTTGTCATGGAAATGAGTTTTGGAATCTGAAAGAACCCACATTTTTGCAAATATCGAATGTGTAGGGATAACCCTTTCATGACGGCCACCAGGGACACGGCTCACAGAGGCTTCTAAAGGGTCTGTGTGGTCTCCTCTGGGAGAGGGGCTCCCGGGTTCCTCTTCCAACAGCCACCCCCCAACCTTAGCACACCATGTCCCCCCAAAGGCTTTTTTTTTTTTAATTTCAAGGAAACATAGCAAATAGGCAGCCACAGGGAAAGGTAAAAAGTCCTGATCTTAGGAGAGTCAGATCCCAGCTCCATCTGGGCCACCTGAGGCAAGTTCTGTAACTGCTCTAAGCCTCAGTTTTCTCATTCTCATGACCCACAGTGACTGACTCATCATAGGTCTAAATTAAATATCTGGGGGACAGACAGATGTGG